AAGGGATAGTGGTGGTGCTTTGCACAAGATAACCGTAATTAATGTCACTGAATTATACATGTAAGAAGTGTGGAAATGGCAAATGTTCTGTTTTATATATATGTACATATATGTGTATACATCCCGTTGCCATTGAATCGATTCCGACTCATAGTGACCTTATAGGGCAGGGTAGATATGCCCCCATAGGGTTCCCAAGGTGTGGCTGGTGGATTCAAACTGCTGACCTTTTGGTTAGCAGCCAAAGTATTCTCAGCTACCTCAACTCTACCATTTGAAAAAATGTTAAGGGTTCAAAGGCATTTAAAATCAATATCCTGTGTTGACTCCTAAACTGGATATAAGGAAACAACATTTGGGCATAGAAGGGAGGATGGCAAGACGTCCTTTGGACATGTAATCAGGAGGGACCAGTCCCTGGAGAAGGACATCATGCTTGGTAAAGTAGAAGGTCAGCAAAAAAGAGGAAGACCCTCAATCAGATGGACTGACACAGTGGCTGCAACAACAGCTCAAACGTAGCAACAATTGTGAGGAAGGCGCAAGACTGTGCAATGTTTGGTTCTATTGTATATAGGGTCGCTATCAGTCAGAACCAACTGGGCAGCACCAATTTGTTCTTAATTATTTTTCAGAATTTAAGAAGTGTATGAGGCATCCCAATTTTACAAATTTTGGGGGGGAAGGTGGTGTCATGGATTGAATCGTGTCCCCCAAAAATATCTGTCAACTTGGCTAGGCCAGGATTCCCAATACTGTGTGATTGCCCACCATTTTGTCACCTGATGTGATTTTCCTATGTGTTGTAAAGCCTATCTCTGTGATGATGAGATGGGATTAGTGGCAGTTATGTTAATGAGGCACAACTCAATCTACAAGATTAGATTGTGTCTTGAGCAACTCTCTTTTGAGATATAGAAGAGAGAAGTGAGCAGAGACAGGGAGACCACCAAGAAAGTAGCACCAGGAGCATAATGCGTCCTTTGGACCCAGGGTCCCTGTGCTGAGAAGCTTCTAGTCCAGGGGAAGATTGATAACAAGGACCTTCCTCCAGAGCCAACAAAGAGAGAAAGCCTCCCCCTGGAGCTGACGCCCTTCATTTGGACTTCTAGACTACTAGCCTGCGAGAAAATAAATTTCTCTTAAAGCCATCCACTTGTGGTATTTCTGTTGTAGCAGCACTAGATAGCTAAGACGGGTGGGATCTTTATTTTTCATTTCACATGTATTGAAAGCAATTTTAAAGTGCTTTTATAAGGAAAACTTGTTATTTAATTCATGTAAATATAGCATTCTAACTCTAAAATCCAGAGGGAAATTTTAAGTACTAATTATGTAATAATACTCTCCTAATTCTTCAAAAATATACAATTCCATAGCTACAAAGAAGTGTTTTGATATTAGTGAAAATTGATTCCATTTCAGTGATACCAACAACCACGGCAAGCTACAAAGCACAATCTACTAGCAAATGAAGCCCAATGCCAAACAGGTTGTACATAAAAACAAATGATGGTACTATATTTTAGTGAGCATTAATAATTTAAAATGCAAGCAATTAAATGCAATGTGGTATCCTGAATTGGACTGTGGAAAAGAAAAAAAGATCATTAATGGAAAAAAATGGCGAAATCCCAAGAAAGTCTGTAGTTCACGGTAATGTGTCAGTGTTTAATTTTGACGAACATGCCATGGTTTTGTAAGATGTTAACATTACCGGCAACTAGGTAAAGGATAGAGCCCTGGTGGCACAGTGGTTAAGAGCTCATGCTGCTAACCATAAGGTCAGCAGTTTGAATCCACCAGCTGCTCCTTGGAAACCCTATGGGGCAGTTCTACTCTGTCCTCTACGGTCGCTATGAGTTGGAATCAACTCAATGGCAACAGGTAGTAGGTAGTAGTAGGTAAAGGACATAGAAGAGTTCTCTGTACTATCTTTCCAAGATTTCTGTAGATCTAAAATTATTCCAAAATAAACTTCAGTTTCAAAATATTCAAAAAGCAAGTGATAATAAGTTTGAATCAATTCCTACATAGAAGACCAAGAACACAATTAGAAAAACTGATAAAGCAGCAAAACATGAATGACTGCCTATATGGATAGCCACAATATATATGAAATTCTTTTTTCTATCTTTATGGTGCTGTTCACTGTTACCTAGCTATTGTCTCATCATCTGCTAGTTGCAAAAAGGCAGACTGTTGAATTTTATCTTGCAGTAATATTCCCTTAATGATTCTGGGTGCATTTTTTCATGTGGATCACAAATGTTTCTTAGCATGGGTACAGTGTGAACCTCCTTCTGCAAATCCATGATTTTGTATCTTTGAGAAGTGGTTGTGTGTGAGCATCCTGATTGTGTCGAGTCAATGATGAGCCCGGTTTTGTGCTCAGTGGTGGATTCCTAGACAGTGCAACTCAGTGAGGTCCACCCTAATTCAGTGCACTGTTTTCCATCTGTAATATGGGTACATTGGATGCAAGGTCATTTTTGGATACTTCTTATTGGTTGAGTCGATTCCGGCTCATGGCGACCCCGTGTGTGCAGAGGAGAACTACACTCCTAGGGATTTTAAGGTTGTGACCTTTCAGGAGCAGACTGCCAGGCCTGTTTTCCCAGGTGCCTCTAGGTGGGTTCAAACCGCCATCCAGGGACTCCTTTGGATACTTACCTGCTGTCGTCAATTCCGACTCAGAGTGACCTTATGGACAGAGTAAAACTGTCCCATAGGGTTTCCATGGAGAGGCTGGTGGATTTGAACTGCCAGCCTTTTGATGAGCAGCCACGCTCTGAACCACTGCGCCACCAAGGCTTCTTTGGATACTTAGGCATCTGCAAACCTGGTAGGTCACTTTAGCTGCAGTTGTTTATAGAGAAAAAGGATGGCAGTAGACCTTAATCGGTAACCAAGCAGTGTCGATTCTTGCATCTTACATCATGCTTCATTAAAACACAAAAAAAACCAAACCCATTGCCCTTGAGCCGACTCTGACTCATAGCGACCCTACAGGACAGAGCAGAACTGCCCCTTAGGGTTTCCAAGGCCCTGGCAGCATAGCGGTTAAAGCACTTAGCTGTGAACCAAAAGCTTGGCAGTTCAAAACCACTAGCTGCTCTGAGGGAGAAAGATATGGCAGCCTGCTTCTGGAAGATTACAGCCTTGAAAAGGCAATGGGGCAGTTCTACCCTGTCCTATAGGGTCACTGTGAGTCGGAATCAACTCGATAGCAACAGGTTTGGTTTCGTTTTTGGTTAATCTTTACGGAAGCAGAATTCCACATCTTCTACGAAGCGGCTGGTGGGTTCGAACTGCCTTTCGCTTAGTAGCCAAGCGCTTAACCACTGTGCCACCAGGGCTCCTAACATGTCATGTAGAATGGTAGAAAATACAGTAGTGCTTTTAACTGCTCTGCAGAAGAGAGAAATGATTAAGGGTATTGTATCTTTCCTTCGCTCCTCTGAAATAAGTGTTCTAAGCGCTCAAGGGGCTTACAACTGCAGGTGCAAGGAGCTACGAATCCCAGGTGCAGCTTGCATTTCCTTTCTCCACAGCCTTTGAGGTCAACTGGTTAGCTTACTTTGACCACAAATAGCGCTCTTCTCTAGCGCAATCTTAACTTGATATGAAGCACTTACACAAGGAATGGTGCAGACAAGAAGGCAGCTTTATTGCACTTTGGAAAAAATAAACATGATTCCATTTAGGGGGAAGAAAAGCCATTGACACTCAGTAAGCAACACTGCCATCTAGTGGAATAATGACATACCATCAAGCTTTTCAAGACCAGAAATGAAATGTGAGTGGATATGCTCATTTTAATTTTCACCATAAAATGGCACTTTTAATAAGCTGGCCTTCAGAGAACCTCAGATTTTCTCGAAAAAACATTTTTATCTTTTAAATTCATAGACGTATATGCCTTCTCTGCTTTTTTGGGCAAAGAATGAGTGGTTTTGTTTTTCGTAAATAGACCATCAAATTCTCAATTTGAAAGTTATGAGACACTCTGGGGCAACCTGCCTCTTTGAACATCCATCACTCTTGTTCAACAGTCTAAACGCAACCCCTGATTACGACAAACAGCTTTATAAGGAAGCAAAACTCAACTGTACAAGAACTACATTAAGTTTACTCATTTCCTCTATTTTTACAATCTAAGGTGCTAAGTATTTGCACTTCACTTATTTGAATTCCTGAAAAAAAGCATTAGAACACACCAGTAACAATTTTGCATAAATCACATTAACCCAACTCTTATTATGACTACACAATAACAGTGGAAGATATTGATTGGTGTGAGGATGTGGAAATGCTCTTCTTAGTGAATAATAAAGTAATTCTTCTCACGGCTTTAATTCTCCTCTATACCCAGCTGTTGCAGTAAATGTGCTGATGATTTCTATGAGCATACAAATGAGAACACTTTAATGAAACACCGGGATGAAAAAAAGAAAGTTGTGACAATAACATATTGTTAATAACCACAATCTCAAATCGGCATCTGCTATTACTGAGATTTCAGATTCTGGGTTAAGTGCTCTGCTCTTTGGAATATCCACAATGGTTATTGATCTTGCTAATGAGTTCCGCTCATTGCAACATTTCTGGGTATACGGTTGGAGGCACTCACGGATTCTAGAATGCATGAGTCTGACATGGTCTTCATCAAACTGTGTTCTTGGCAAACAGTAAACTCAGTTAAGGATTTCGGGAAGAGCCACGTTCCAGGAAAGAGGTATACAAGTGTAGACTAAGAAGTTGAATTAAAACATTTTTAGGTTGCATTTTGTTGGTAGACACAACTGAATGTTTCAATTCTGAGAACCTGAGATTGTCCAGAAAAAGAAAGTTCTGAGTGTGTAGGACATAAGCTGTCACAAAGTCAGAACCCAGGGTTTTGCATTTCTCAAAGCAACATGAATTGGGGTGTGGGGATGGAACCTGAAGTACTAGATCTGAATAGGGTTGTTCTTTTTAGGGGTGTCCAGACTGTCTCAGTGTTCACATTTTGCAGTAATTCCCCATCTGAAGCTTTCTTCCCCAAGCTTCACCGGGAAGTGAGCACTCATGTGCAGTGCCCTGATGGGGACTCTCTATGCATCTCTATGCAGCTATCGGGGGCTCGGAGGAAGGGACCACCTGACCCCAGCATTTAAGTCATCTGCTACTATTTGGACACTCCTGAAGCCAAAGCAATTGAAAATGCTAAGGGAGCCTTTTATTAACTCAAACATGATGCCAAAGTCATCTCAAAAAAAGTTTATTAGCATGATTAAGAACATTTTCTTGAATAATGTAAGAGAGAAAGAATTTCTAAACACGGAAGAATATCAGTGGCAATACCTCATACCCAATATTTGGAATTGAATGGACAGCTTTATTGCCAGTCTTCATTTTACTGAAAACAATCCATGTACTGGTTCCAAGTGAAGTCATGACTATTGCTTTGTCTGGGAATGAGTCCCTACTGCAATTAAGTATAAAAAGTATCTTCCATCATGATAGGAGTGTGACCTGCATTACTGAGTAAAGAGCTGATAAAAATCCTCAAAGAGTTGGGTTTTTGTTTTTTAAAAAAACATTCCTTTTACACACTACAAAGAAATAATTAGTATTTTGGCTTTTTAAATTCCTACATGATACTTAGAATGGCAGTCCCCAAAGGCCCTCCCCGTCACATAATCGCGAACACAGACCCTCTTTTCTGGAGGTTGCATTCTTGGGGCGGACTTCATGTGTTTATACTGGTTTGAGAACAAAGACAGCGTCATCCAGAACATAGTAGTCATTGTACATGTCGCCCTCACACAGGTATGGCAGTCTGGTGAAAGCTTCGATAACAAAGCCAGCTTTTCTGAAAACTTCCGACAGACTGTTCACTTGTTCTTCCCAATTCTGTCCCTTGATTTCCAAAATTTCTGATGGTTTCTCCCACTTGCCACCTACTAAAACAAATAAAAACATTAAGTTAAACTCTTGAACAAACAAGTTATTTGAGGAAGGAACTGCAGTGGGTGCTTTTATGAACTGTCTCCTTTATATTTCACAGGTACCCCATGAGGGAGGTGGGCAAAGAGATAACTACAGACCTGTGAGGGCTAAAACTTGCCCAAAACTGATAATTGTATGGGGATACTGAGGCAGAAAGTAACAAATAAAATTTAAAAGAGTATTTTAGCACAAATCCAAGAAAATACCACTGATATGGTCAAGTTATGCAACTTACTACCTAAGGAGGTTTATCAGGTGAGAATAGGGATAGGCTCATGAAGGATTTTAATTCATAAAAACAGATCATCAGTGTGTTTTCCAAGGGAAGTTGATCCATTCCCTAACTTTTCAGAACAATGGTATAAAAGCTAAGCTCCAGGACCAGAGGCAGAACACTAGAATGGATGAGTCAACCTAGCATTCCTTAGAGGAGTGATAAAAGTCTGTGTCAGTAGTTCTCAAACCTATGGGTATCAGATACCAGGGTGGGATGGGTGACGCAGGTAAGGTCTTCAAAGTCACATACAAATCAAGCATGGACTATAGACACACACACAAAGATGACTGTTGTTTGCTTCCATCGAGTTGATTCCAGTTCATGGCAACCCCATATGTACAGAGTAGAATTACTCCATAGGGTTTTCAAGGCTGTGATCTTTCAGAAGCAGATTGCCAGGCCTGTCTGCCAAGGTGCCCCTGAGTGGGTCCAAACTGCCAATCTTCCAGCCAGTAGTCAAGCGCTTAACTGCCTGCACTACTCAGGACCTCCATGAAGAGCAGTACCGTGTCTAAATTCTCACACTTTTAGATGCTCTGGTGATGGAGACACTACACATATACTTGAAACTGCTACAAAATGCAGACTAAGAATAACTTTCTGTTTGTGAGAAAATAGATAATTAACAGCTTCCGAGGATACAAACACTACGGTGGAAAGATTTTTCATTATTTTCAGTGGCCCAGCACTCAAACCCTCTTCTTGTGTCTGGGAAATTTCCCTCCTGGAGTCTTGGTGGGAGACAAAGCCTGGGGAAGAAGCTTTGCCAGCCTTCTTGCAGCTAAAGCCCTGTGGCATGTAGCCTAGGCCCCAAACCTGGCACGACGAGCTGATGGCCCAGAGAAGTGGGCCGTGAGGGTGGAGCAGCAGCAGGGAAACCTGCTGGAGCAGAGCTGAGTGATGCTGATGGTGGCACTCAGTCCATGACAATGTTTGGCATCTGGTGCTTGGTGGCACAGAGTGCTTGCTCTTCAGAGTAGTTTCACAGCGTGACTTGGGCCATCTCTCCCGGCTCTGGACTCCTGACACGGTCTCCAGTCCTCCCAGTGACTGTAAGCTAGCCTAACTCCTTTCAATAAATTTCCTCTTGCTCAAGTCAGCCTGAGTCAGTTCCTGCTGCTTACAAAAAAAGAACCTGACTGATGAAGCCTCTTAGTGGGTGTGGGGGCAGGGGTAGAACAGAGGGCCCACACATTAAAAAGGGGTTCTCAAAACTAGGGCACAACTAGTTCATGGTACACAGTTTATGTCTTCCTTGGACCCTGATGTCTCGTTCGATCAGTTCTCTCTGGTCTCCACATGAAGACACTTCCTTCTGCTTCTGCTTCTGCTCGATTTCCAGCGGTTACTGGCCCACCCACACTTGGCACACAGTAGGTACCCCCGCTGATGATGGGCTGAACTGCTCTGGGAATTTAAAGTGCCAATAATCTGTCAAATCATACTCCTTGCTGGGAAAGTGCACTTCATATAAATCAACCTCTCACTCAAAATATCTAATATCTATGAGGAGTTGTCAAACTGCCAAAAAATAAAAATAAAAAATCAAATGAACATTTAGAAATGTGCTCCGGGCTAAAATCTCAACTTTAAATGGTGAAACTGGCCTACAAACAAGCTTTACACAATTTCAAAAAGTTCCTGATTACGGTTCCTTAGTAAGAGTTCCTCTCTTCAGTTCTTCCTTCCTTTCTAAAAAAGCACACACACACCAAAGCCAACTCTCATTTCAAATTCACACCGCCAGACACACACACACAAAGAAATGGAGACGGCCAACAGAGGCAAGATCGCTCTTGGTCTGGAAATAAATCTGATTCTATTTTATGTCGGTAAGGTTCTTCTTTTTGCTCCTCCATTTTATTTAAATCAATTGCTATTTGTCACCTAATGTATTTATATGTTAAGCTCCTAGAGATGAATTTTTGGATGTATAACAATAGAAATTGTCTAAGGTGGTGGTTCTTTTCTCCCTAGAGAAATAAGGCTTTAAGAGAATGAGTAACAAAACGTTTCATATTAACCTTGAAAATTCCGTTTGCTATTATGCTGCTTTAGAAAACAGCACTTCACTCAACAAAGGGGTGAAATACTCTTAAAATCACATGTGCCCAAGTCATCAACAAATTAAGTTCCCAGACAGGCAGACTTGCTCTGCACATAGTATGAACACTTCTGAAAAGGTAAATTTCTATAAATGAAAATCAGTTGATCACCACGCCTTTAAAAAACAAAAAACCTTACCATGGCTCCTTCCATAGAGAATAACCATCCCACAATATATGTGAAAATATTCCCCCTATACCCCTTTTTTCTCTATAGAAGAGAAAGCACTTTCTACATCACAGTCTAACAATATCAGATTTGTCCACACAGTTTGGGTCATAGGGCAGAGAAAGGGGCAGAAACTCTTAAATTTTCTCTCATCTATAAAAAAATACACCAAAATGTTAACGGTGGTTATTTTGGGTGGTAGCATTATGGGGGACTTCTTGCTTCTACTTCCAGAAGTATTCTGTTTATTTTTCTAATAAGTATGTATTACTTCTTTGAAGATAAACTATCTTAACTGGAGTTA